CCCTGCGATGTCTCAAAAGGGGAGAAAGTGTGGAGAAAACAAGGAAGGGCGCCTAAGTGCAGTAAAAAATGCTTATTTTTCCAAGACACATAAAAAATTGCACTTACGAGATTGTTGATTTAAAATCGCATACATAAAAAGACTCACTATATTGTCTAATGGGTGCATTAACTTTTATCATAACCCTGTGTGCTCCCGTGCACGCAAAGCCGACCCTGCCGACATATAAATTATTATCGATATTGCTACATGGTCAAAAACCTCATCGGTTGTATCTGGGAAAAGGGAGAATGCATATCATGCACTCGGCAGATACTTATTTTTATTTCTATTTAGACTTGTACATTTCAGTTGGAGGACGGCTCTATATGCAACCGCCCATCCCATTGATTATAATAGTTCTATATATAGTACCACTAAAACTATAGAATTGTCAAATTAATGATTAATGTAATCCCCAGGATTCTCACTTCATTTAGTCATTTTTCTAATGGCCCATATTTCACCTAATGTTCCATATTCCGCATGGAAATTATTGCATCACCAACCTGACCACCTGACCAACCGTTCAGTGTCGGCAACCCCCCTCTGCCAATCCCTCCACTGGCTTCCACTCGCCCAGAGGATAAAATTCAAAATATTAACAGTCACTTATAAAGCCATCAATAACTCTGTCCCCGGATATATCTCAAACCTTTTCTCAAAATATCACCCTAACCGTCCACTCCGCTCATCCCAAGACCTACTTTCCAGCTCCCTTGTCAACTCCTCCCATACTCGCCCCCAGGACTTCTCCAGAGTCTCTCCCATCCTCTGGAACTCTTTACCCCAACCTGTCCGTCTATCTCCCACCTTGACTGCCTTTAGGCGTTCCCTAAAGACTCATCTCTTCAGGGAAGCCTATCCCACCTCAACCTAACCACTGAACCATCACTTTCTCAAACAATTCATCCCCACACAGCTACCTCCTCGTGTATCACTTCTCCCTCCCTTTTAGATTGTAAGCCCTCTCAGACAGGGCCCTCCTTACCATCTTGTCTTGAAGTGTATTGTGATTGTAATGTCCTCCTTATATTGTAAAGCGCTGCGCAAACTGTTGGCGCTATATAAATCCTATGTAATAATAATACTTGAATGCTTTTTTAAGATGCAACTCCTGAGAAAAACTATGGGGTGAGCGAATTGGTCATCCCCATAGTTAGGGCCGATGTGTGACATTGATACTGTTACACGTCAACTCTATTGATCAGGAGCAAAAAGGAAAGGAGAAAAGTGGGGTTATTTAGAGCACCCAATGACAAGTCCAAATGCTCCGAAAAGAAGTTTTTGAGATATAAAAATATATTATTTTTGCGTACCACCCATTAATTTTGTTCCAGTTAGAGGTTTTTACCATTACCAAATGGATTGTATTCTCTCATAATTTATGTATGTCCAGTTATTGTATTATATGTCAGAACAATCATGTTATTATTATTATCATTATATCCTCTATCATGTCTAATATGACCTCTATTTTGGAACATAGTTGGTGTTAGGAGGTTTTCCCTCTCTTTGTTTTTTATATACTATTAACTTGATGTTTTTAACCTTTTGTATGAATTATAATAAATAATATATTTTGATATATCAAAAACGTCTTTTTGGAGCTTATTGGACTTGTCTCCTTTTTCCCATTGATATCTAACCAGGGGTTGGCACCTAACCATTCAGGATCTGCGCTCCACAATAAATTTGTTCATCTATTGATCAGGACTGAGCGATAACATACCGCCGCTCGCTCACTTGCCAATCTTCTCCCTGCAGAGAGCGGTGACTGTCAATCACTACTCCCCACAGGGATTCCCCCCTCCCCTCTCCAATCCTCCAGCGCTCACTGAAGTTTGGAGAGGGGAGGAGGTGGGCATATCTGGCTCTGCCTCTAGAGCCAGCTGGGTGAATCTCGACAGTATTGTCTCGATCCAACCCAGTTGCGCTGCTCTCAGCATATAGCGGGCAGTAGCCCACTATATACTGAGTTGGGTCACGGGAGGACGTTAGTATATGTCCTCCCGTGACCCTAAAGAGAACCATGGGATAAAAACCCCATAGTTCTCTCTTTTAAGGATGTTTTTTGTTGTTGCCCATGTCCCCATTGAAAATATTTACCATGACTTTCTGTCCCACTGACCCCGTCTCCCGAGCAGAAAGTGAGGGAAAATAGAAATACAGTGAGCAATAAAAACCTGATGTAGGCCCTTCCCCACACTGAATCAAAACAAACAGTTTGTTAATGTTGGATTGTGTGTAAGTCATTTTACTGATCTGCTGTTCTTTTAAATGTGTTTTTAACTTTTGTTGCAGTCATATTTATTATGGTCGTGGATACTCTCCGCAGTTTTAGATCTTCTCCTTGTTGAAGCTGTACAAGTTGTGACTGGTCTAAGCCTCAGCACTTTACCATCAGGATTGTAAGTAATTATTTCTTTAAACACCAGTTTTAAAAAAAAGAAGTGAACAATTTTGTGAGAACCATGTAGTATGAAACTGATAGGAGGGTCTGTTTACCACAGTGCATTGCATATATGTGGTTTTTTTTTCACTCTGTAAGAACTCGACCTCAAGCAGTAACTCCTACATGTTACTTTTGTCTGTTTTCAGTTTTATCTAGCTGTGAAGTAAAATAAAAGTTCTGAACAAGTTTTGGCCGCATGAGGCAAGCATCAAGCCCTACATAAATAGTTTGTTTTCCTCTCCAGTGCCAGGTGAACAGTAAAATCTGGCCTGTTTTTAGAGGTGAGCCAACCGGAATGTCAGAAGGGGGACCGGACAGCTTTCAACACTGTGAAATTAGCTTGGTTTGACTGCTCCAATTTTAGGCCGTCCTTGCTACTGAAAGGCTGTGCACTCAGTTTGGTGCCTGCATTGTATTGCCACAGCCTGTTCAGCATCCTAACGGTTATGGCAGCTATACATTAAAGGATAATAAGAAAATTTGACTAAACTTAGGGCATTGATAGACAAGTGCCTTGTCTGGCCCATTCTGGTGAACAGAGTTTTCATCCTCTGGTGTCAATGCTTCTCTAACATGGGTGGGCAATGTACTGTGGGTGGAGAACCGCAGCAGTGCCAAAGGATGTTAAAATAGATCGAAGTCTCATTACTAAAATCTCATATAATCACTGTTTTAGCATGTTAATAGAATTTCAAAGGTTATTTTAAATTTGCAGCTTTTATTACTATAAAGGCTAGTGATCCTACCATTAAAGCAAAACTATGAGGTGAGTGATTTCCACTCATCCTCATAGTTAGAGCCGACCTGTGACAAGAAGCTGTCACAGGTCGGCTCTATTGATTGGGAAGTGAGCAGAAACATGCAGCTGATCCGCTCACTTCCAGATCGTCTCCCTGCAGTGAGTTGTGACTGATAGTCACCGCTCCCCGCAGGGATTCCCCTTTCCGATCCACCAGCGCTCTTGATAAGCAGAGCCAGCTGTCACTCACGCAGCTGGGTGGATCTTGACAGTATTGTCGGGATCCAACCCGGCTGCTGGGCTCACAGTATATCGCGTGCAATAACCCACTATATACTGAGCTTTGGGTCATGGAGGAGGTTAGTATATGTCCTCCCATGACCCTAAAGAGAACTATGGGGAAAAACACTTACCCCATAGTTCCCTTTTCAGTCCTAGTTTGGCCCCATTCTTGTTATTTGGTGAAAATAGTCTGTCCCTGTCCTACAGCTGCTCTCCTGCATTTTCATACTGTTACATGCACTTTCAGTGTAGACTATAAGCAGCCATGCGAGCCCTTGTTGTGGAGGTATGTTCTGCTGTTATTAGCACTCTGAACAATGACCTGCACCTGAGACATGTTGACAGGAAGTGGCTGGGAAAGGCCACAGGAGATCAGCAGATAAGGTGCAAAACAAAATCAAAAAAGGATGAATCCGAGGTTAAAAAAAGAAAGACATGACAACATTTTCTAAAAGAGAAATATATGCCAAGTGTTTGAAACACAGAGGTTTAGCAAACTAAATGTCATCCACTCTTTGAAAATGTTCTTGTAACATAAAAGTTATGAGAGATTACCCCTGTGCATTTAATTAAATTTGTCACTAAATTTTGGGGTTTAATAAGGAGTTGCGCTAATATTGCGCAACATAAAAATTTTCAACTACCACCATTTTATTCTATAGGGTCTTGGCATTCAGAAAATATATAATGTTGGGGGGTTTTACGTCATTTTCAGGCCTAAAATGTGGAATATAACATGGGTGCAAAAATTTAAAAAATGGCCTCAGTCATGAAGGGGTTAATAAACAATAACATTTGCTAGCATGGAGCGTGGTGCTTCATTTGCCTTTCTTTGCCAGAGTGAAAGTGGCACCCAGTGATTCTGCACTGGGGTCGGTGATGAGCCTCTCACTTTGAGCAGTATACATATTTTCTTCTCATCCAATTGCCATTTAAATCTGTTTTACCACTATGCTAGTCACATACAAACCAGGCAGGTTTAAGGCGATGTTAGCGATATGAAAATGACCCAGTTATATTTAGTCTATCTACATATTTAGCTGTTGTTTCTGGAATTTAACCAAAAGTGCTTTTTTCCTCCACTCAATAGTACACTGGATTAGGCCTTTATAATTGAGATCAATCTGTGCATCACATCAAAAGCAACATAATGGTTTTATGCTGTTCATGTAAAGGCATCTACAAGGCGACAATACCATTTTGTCTTACAAAATGCATTTCTTGCAACACCACTTCATCCTTGCTTTGATTGACATATGACCTTGCATTGAAATTGTGAAATTCATGTCTCAATCTTAAGCTTTCAGACACAGTGGTATTGCTAGTGTTTGTGGTCACAGGTGTTACAGACCAACTTTGTGGCCTGTTCATTTACTGTTGCTTTCTATCATGCCTGCATTAGTGGCTAGTAGAACGAGTGTGTACACTCCCTTAAAGGAAAACTATGGGGTAAGTGTTCTCCTAAGGGTCGCGGGAGGACACAAACTAGCTACGGCTCGCAGTATACCGAGACCGCCGCAGCTGGGACGGATCCCGACATTACTGTCGCTCCACTCAGCTGCGTTATTGACAGCTGGCTCTGCCTATCTAGATGCAGAGCCAGCTGTACCCGCCCCCTTCCTTGTCCGTTCCGCCAGTCAGCGCTGGAGGATCGGTCAGGGGAGGGGGGGGGGAATCCGTGAAGGGAGCCACGAGTGACAGTCACGGCTCTCTGCAAGGACATGATCGAGAAGTGAGCAAGCGACGGTATGTGTTCGTTCACTTCCCGATCTATTGAGCCGATGTGTGACAGTCTCATTGTCACAGGTTAGCTAGAACTATGAGGCTGTGTTTTTCACTCGCCTCATCGTTCTCCTTTAAATTGGAAGTTTCTTGAAGTTCCATCTAAAATTTTAGGCAATTATGAAAAAAAGACATATGCACATACTAGATAAAATCCTTTAATAAAGCAATAAGCAATTTGCAAATTGCAGTATTCCTCGCCATTAAATTACAGACCATGTTTTATTAGTTTTACTCAGCAGACCTACTGAACTTTGATGGTTTGTTAAGGGTCGCTGAACACCGATATGCATTGAATAAAGATCTCTATGTGAGTGCTGTTTAAACTTGATAAATCGAAAGTTATAATCCACATAGTGCTTTTAATAAAAAGGTACCTATTCATTTACAAAATGTATATTAATCACATCATTTCACTGTTAACGTTGCTCAAGGAGCGAATGCTTCCTGTTCTCATGCTTTTTCTACGTACACTGCGCAGATAGTTGCGATACCAGATAACACTGATAACTCGTGCCTGAAACTGCTTTGAGACAATGTAATACAAGATTAAGTCCAAACATGTGCTCAGGTTCATCAGGAAGGTAGACACCTGTCCCCATAAAATGTAGTGCTTAAGTCCTTCCTGGGTCATAAGCAACACAAAACACACATGAAATGGTACAAAACAGACCAGAACTTGCACGACTAGAGTCACAATGATCTGTATGGACTTCCTTTTTACTTTGGGCTTTAGCCGAGAAGTTCTTCCACTCACTAGACTGTAGATGATGATGCTGTAGCAGCCTATCATGATGAGCAGAGGGATCAGGAAAAAGAAAATTAAGCGAGCAAAGTTCAGCATGCTGTTTCGTTTAAAGTGGATGAGATCAAACATTTTAAAGCAAGTGGTAAAATTAAACTCTTTGTCGGGGTCCTCGTACACGAAAAGCAAAGGGGTCGTAGTCACTATGGTCATTATCCAAATTCCAAAACATGCTGCCATTGCTTTGGCGATGTTCTTCAGTTCTTTGATGTGCTTGGGCTGCACGATGGCCATATACCGATCTGCACTGATGAAAGCAAGCAGCCATAATGTCACGCTTGGGTAAAATACAGTAAGTGCTCCCATAATCCGACAGAATATGTCTCCAAAGGGCCATGATTGGTTGGCATAGTACATTATGCGGAAAGGAACAAAAAGTAAAAACATTAAATCTAGCAGTGCCACGTTCATCATGTACACAGTAATAGTTGTTCTCTTTTTGGTGGTGCAACTAAAGACCCATAGTGCTGTGACATTAACAAACAGTCCAGTTGGGAGGACAATGCTGTAAAATACCAGTGCAGGGATTCCATATTCTCGAAACAGCCAGACATCTGGAGTATGAGTTTGATTTACAGTATCCATGATTGTCTGTCAAGCAAATCCCAGGCGCTCTACAACACAAGAGTACAAAATAAATACTATGTAAAATAACAGCTGTGATTTGTTATAATAAGTTAGTGGATTCCACTGCAGTTATAATGACTTGATGTACTAACGGCTGATGATATTTTTTATTACAGTGTGTTAGTTGCATTTTTTATTACAAAAAGTTTCCTTTCCATTAAAGGTATTATTGCACAGAACAGCTGAATTTAGGAACACATCATTTTGTCTGTTTGTGAGGTATTTTGACTCACAGTCTATCACTTGGGTTATTGCTCATTTAAATGGGCACTGTGCCCAGACTATAGACATGGAAGTGTTTCCCTAGCCTTAAGAGCACCACACATGTTACAGTCTTTCTACAAATCTCCTTTAAATCTACCAAAATATGTACAGCAATATGAGGAGCTACCTATTTTATTTGTATCCAATCAAGCAGTCCCTTGCACTACATACTTAGATGTAAAGGAGTTTGTACAGTCAGTTTCCAATGTGTACAGGGGTTTAAAAGCAGTAAAAGAGCTTTAAAACATGTCATCACTGACCCCTCTAGCTGCTTGTAGTTTGAAGTAATTTGAAAAAAGTTTTTTTCTACTAACCTTTGCAGTGGGGCTACCCTCGTACTGCAAGGGTTAGCTGCTCGTTTGTTTCTAGGTGCTAAAACAAGGTATACTCACCGGATCATTCCAGCCAGCATGTTCTTAGACCGGTCCCTAGAGCCTCTCTCCCCCTCCTCTGCAGCGGTCTAAGAATCCTTGTGTTATCATGCTGTATACAAGTGTATACACGTGAGGATGCTGAGGAACATTCCATCTGTGCAGAAGAGGAGGAGACCTGAGAAGCAGGGAGCCGGCTCAGCAGTTCGGGTGAGTATCTTAAGCATCTAGACACAAAAGAGCAGTTAACCTTTGCAGTGCGGGGGTAGCCCCACTGCAAAGGTTAATACAACTTTTCCCTGGATTTATTCTTTAATTCATAAAGATCCTCAAAGAATACAGCAAATACTCTAAAGCACATGTATCAAACTCAAGGCCCAGGGGCCGAATTCAGCCCACCAGGCCATTTCCTAGACTTCTACTTTCAGACCTAGGTATTAAGTTATTACTAAAACCAAGGATAATCGAATGCAGAGGCAATTATGATAAAGATTAGATACATTTATATAGCCTTACAGATACCTTTGAGAGCAACCATAATGTTGATGCGACCCACAATTAAATTGAGTTTGACACCCCTGCTCTAAAGTATGGTTTCCCTTAATTTCCAACAGTCTAGAATCACTTGCTTTGTGCTTACTTTAGAAGGCCGGCAGACTGCCAGTATCTGAGACTAAGATTTCAGTGCTTCTCTTGTCAACTGTAAAGATAAACATCTCCCCAATGGCCATAGATACAAAAAGAGATTGAGGGCACAAATCTCACCACCTCTTCTGTTCAAATTCTGCTACAATAATTTTGTAGAAATGTTTTGCTAATTGTATTAGTGCCACTTCATGCCCCTTCAAGAATCTGCTAATCTGGACTGAAAAAGGGACAGTTGGCTGGAAACCTGAGTGGGTGGGGGTATGATGTCACCTGCTCACTGGACATTTATGTCCCTTTGCAAATCTTCAGGCTCATGACATGTTTAGCTGCGTGGGGAGTCTGTTATTTTAGATTTTGGTTTTGCAGTTAGGTTAAGACCTTTTCTGGGTTCTTATTTTAGCTTGCTTTTCCTTTTACTCGGTGTTGCTTATTCAAAGCTCTAAACTCTGTTTCATTATTTGTCACTTGTTTAAAATATATCACAGTACAACACAGTAAGTAGCAAGTTAAAGCCTACAGTGCTGCATGTAGGAAGACTTGCTGTGTAAACTGATAGCCATATTCACAACATTTGCTGTTTTGTTGAACATATCTATGTGACCTTACTTCTTTTTCCAATTTTTGAGGAAGTTATCTGTGCAATAACAGGTAATCACCATCAGATACCACAACATCCTGCACTTTTAATAGCCTGTAAATGATGTGAATGATCCTAACTTTGGATTTTTGTCTCTTATGTGACTGCTGCCCTTTTCTCAATTAACTTTACTTGTTTAATTACTGATTGACTACAAGTTTTTACTGCTTAGTTTGAATTTATCTGTTTATGATTTTGACTGTGCTAAATAATGTTTTATTTTTTTTCTAAAATAATTTACAGCTAATTTCTATATTTTGTATGAACCATACTCGTTTTTTTTTTTTTTTGCTGCCTGCTTGTTCTTTGACTGTGACTATGCAATATTGTGGCCAGACATAGCCAAGGACTAGCATTTCTAGGAGGAGTTTATTATAGGTGGCTTTCCTGTGTTATACATGCTCTTATTTTGGGCAACACCGTGCACAACAATACAGGATGTGTACATTAATATACATGTGCTGCAGTACACAGAAGTGCAGCTGCGTTGGTTTGCATTATATTGTATGTCAGGGTGGCAGAAAGAATGGCAATTACTGCAAGACAAATATATAGCACGATCATTTGTGTTGTGTCAATGTGCTTTTTGGCCGATCCTCCCCACTGCCGGATTGACAGCTGTCTCTGTCTAACAAAGTCCAAATCCCATTCGCACTGCCACGGTCTCAAAACCACTTTGTGTCACTGTCGCTCTGATGAAGGATCCCTGTGCAGACCCGAAACGTTAGCACCGTATGACAGTATGTGACATTGGGTATTGAATAAACATATCAATACTTTAAAAACCCTTCAAGTGTGTGCCGGTGATATACTTTTTTTTACTATTAGCTGTCTCTGCCTGTCTAGAGCCAGAGCCAGCTGTGCTCGCCCCCTCCCCTCTCTGTCCCTCCAATGAGCGCTAGAGGAACAGAAAGGGTAGGGGGGTATCCCTGCAGGGAGCTACAAGAGTCACATACCAGCTTCATAGATCGAGTGCTCAGTGATCACGAACTGCTGATCGCTCAGCTCTCAATCTATGGAGCCGGCATGTGACACTTGCAGTGTCAAACGCCAGCTCTAAGTTTTAGGAAGAGTACATTTTACTCTCCCAATACTTCTCTTTTAAACTGCAGGTTTTAGTGTGCGTTACACATAGGTCTGAATCCAGCCTTAAAGAAACCTGTAAGGATAGAAATTTAGAAACTTCCATTAATAGGGACCAGCAATCACTAGAAGTTCGACTTGATGTTGGCATGTCAGCTAGCTGACTCTGTCTCCCAATTTCTTTATGTGAGGTTAGGCAGTTGATAGAAATGGTCTATGACACTTCAGCTTAAAAAAGAAGTTTCACCTTGTATTTTTTTCACAGCTCAGTCGCCTAACTCCCAGAGTGTATGTTGCTTTTTATCCCATGCTTCTGTGTGAAGAAGAAACTGAGATACAGACTTTGATAGTTCGTTCGCCTTCATTCCTGACCGGACTCTGCAAAGGAGATGGACTCTTAATTAACAGCTCACTATCTCTTTATTTTCCCAGTACAAAACATGGCTCCCCTTCTAGTTCTAAAGCCTGTGCTGATACTTGTGGGAGTGTGTATGGAAGGTGGAGAGACAGTGAGCTAAAAAGTGTCAATCAAGATGACACCTTTGCAGATAATGGTCGGGAATGAAGAAGAGTCAGCTGGCAAAGTCTGTATCTCAGTTTCTACTCTACACAGAAGCATGGAATAAAAAGCAACATACACTGTGTGAGTTAGGTGACAGAGATGGAAAAGGTGAGACTTCAGGCTTGGGTAGCGTAAGTAAAGCCTAATAAGGGGAAGATATAAATCCTTATTTAGGCTGTACAGTTATAATAATTAACCACATTAACTTCCACACCTGTATACTCCTCAGTGTCTTGAGTTGTTTCATATTATCTGAGAGGTTCCCTGGCAGGCTTACTGTATGTTTTAAAACAATGAACAGCTGCAAATATGTATTTAATGCAGTACTGAACATATTTTGCAGCAAATTTATAAATATGAGTCCCATCACATTGTCATGCTATCTCAACAATGCATTTATTGAAAAGTGTCCCTTAGCATCCGTAAAAAGGGTTAGTCCATCAACAACTGATAGTTGAGCTTTCCAAGATCTACCAACAACAAAACTATCTAAGATTGTGTTATCTCTTTGACACTCTATGGGTAAGATATCTATGATTGAGTTTCAACACTTATCCTGTGGCCATTATGATGGGTTTCTGTTTGTCCAGTTCAATTATGTTCTTGTATATAAAGGGAATGCAAGAGACAATGATGTGATATGCAAAATTCAGTGAGTAAATCCCAAGATAGAGATCAAAATAATTTGAGGCATATAACGTGGTTGGAGTACTCAAGACATAAGAATCGGGGGGATATTTCAGCCTGCCAGGCTGCACTGATACTTGTGTGTCCTTGCCTACAGCAAGGTGTACCCAGTGTGAATTTTGGCCGGTCCCTGGCGAACTTGCCAAAATTGGCACAAGAGGTGCTGCTGTCTGGACCATTCCACCTGGCATCCCTCGATCAGCTGATCGAAGGAGATGCTCGGACATTTCTTGGCCAAACGGAGCATGCAGTCAATGTAGACAGCAGGGGATTCGTTCATCCACGGTCATAAGCATTAATGGTGGAATCTGTTATTTTCTTCATTCAGTCCACAGGTTTAATGACGAAAATATGAACATGTATACCCAGCTTAAGTTCCTTGACTACTTATAGTTTGATCATTAATTGATGTTACAGTTTAAGCAGGAGCCTTGGTTGTTAAAGTGACATTAACTCTCAGATTTTTTAACATAAAACAATACTGTAATGTGTACCTTACTGTAATCCATGGTAGTTTCCCTTCTCTTTGCTGCTCTTCCTTTTAAATCCTCATGTCTTCTCATGCTTGGGGAGAACTTCCCTTTTGCAGCTGAGTGCCTCTTCCTGTAGTGCTGGCTCAGGTTTCAAACCTACACACAGACACCATGTATCCATTCCTGAGACAAGGCAGTCTGCTGCAAAACAGAAGTCCTGCCCAGCATGAGAA